GTTGGGATTTAGTATCACTGATTTAGAGTTATCTTTAGATCAGCTTAAATGTTAACTCAGATAATAAGAAAATTAACTGAAAAATTTACATATTCTTATAAACATAGCTCAAAATCATTTGGAAGCCATTTTGACGGCCTGGCATTTTAACTGACTGATCCACAGAATCAGTATGACCCTGTAAAAATATATAAATACTATACTGGTAAGAGTAATCAACAATGAAAATTGAAAAGTCTAATGTGCTGATATGTAAAGATTTATTGTAAAGCTTTCATTTACTTTTGACTCGTCCTAGTTTGATGTATATTCCATGAAGACTGAAATTTCAACATTGGTAACAGATTTGTCAAGCTGAAGTTTATAGAATTCCTTTGACTATTTGCAGGAGATATTCCCCTACTTGAGTACTTGGTGTATGATGGCTCCCAGGGAGAAAAACTAGAAGTCCAAGTGACAGAAGATATAAAGGGGAATCCAGAACCCTACACCTTGACCCTTCAAATGGAAGGAGTTGTCTCTCCTGTAATTCCAGGGGGTAGTGACATAACTGCTGTATGTATTGTATTTTAAATGTTATTTTAATTTGCCTTTAGATCAAAGTACTAGTATCTCAATCTTCTAGTTTCTACTTATCAGCCTATATTAAAAGAAATGCTTAAAATATATTAAAATCTTCAGTAGGTGCTTTATGAGAACTTATTTTGATACTGGGAAGCTCATAATTTCAAATTTAGATATTTTATGAAATAAGAAATAGCTTCATGTAATTGTTTGTTTCACTGAGGAGGAGTAATTTTATTGAATCTTTAGACCATTGAATATGTAATGATCTCTCTGAATCATGTCATTAACTGTTATATTCCTGATTAGAAGACCCAGAAAAAACTGTTTCAAGAAACCTTTTATTTGACAGGTAATAACGGCAGTAGATCAGATGTTCACCACCAGGTGTCCTAAGTATCTTGGAGCGACGGGGGTGGTACATATCAGCTTCGAGACCAACTCGAACACAGCTCAGGGCGGTCAGATTGTAGATGATAAGGAGGCTTTCTGTGGAAGAAAATCTGTAAAGAACCCGTCTTACCTGTACTCAAACAATGACGGATTGCTACTGGGCTCAGGTGTTAATACAGTAAGTTCTTATCAGCTCAATTGAGCCAAAGGTTTAGAAAAGTGAGCTTCTCTATTCAAAAATTGTCCAGCACTTGAACATCATTCGAGCGGTGGGTCTGTCTATTATGTATCTTTGTTTTTGTTTTGAGTAATTTTTCTCATTCTTTACTCATTTCCCTTTCTTATATGCCAGTTTTATTCAAATCTGGCACCATGTATCTGTGGTTTAAGAGGATTGAATTTTGTTCATTTGGAAACCCATTTCCTTTTCGAAGGTACACAATGATGATATAGATATTTAGAAAACTCTTGTAACTTATAAACACTGAAGGAGAATGAATTGTTGTAGATATGTTTTGCCTACCATGGAGCCCTTGCGAGTGGTTTGGTTGTAAAGTACTCCTACAAGGCGGGGGAGGACATGACTAGCGTAGATAACAAGTACAGGACGTTCTCTATCAGCATCGCAGAGGAATCAGATCAGTAAGAATAGATTAATGACTTAACAATAACTACATTAACTACAATTCTTCATTCCATTTCAAAGGAGTGGTTAGAGCGTCTGCTCTAGAGTTGTGAAGTAAGAAGTTGATCCTTACATCGCATGTTCGAATCCCACAGTGGGATGTGAAGACCGGTCTTTTGGATGAGACCATGTAAACTGAGGTCCCGTTTTGCACTAGGTGCTGGCAGGAAAAAGATCCCTCCCTGCTCAATGGCCCTAAGTGCCTAGTATAGGACAAAATTTTTAGCTCTCCACCGGCAAGTGGTGGCGTCTCCATATGAATTTCTTGAGAGGGACGTTAAACAATCAACAATCAATCAATCGATTTCAAAGGGGAAGTTATCTTGAATGGATGCATAGTTTCATGCAGTCTCAATCTTGCTTATTAGATGACCAGAGAAGCATACCATGTCCATTTGTTTGTCAAAAGTTCAAATGTCAAGGATACATTGTAATGATTGGTGATCATTACTTCATGAACACTGTATGAATTCATTACTCAATAAAAGTAAAAGTCTTTTGTTATTGTAAAAATGAAAGTGTACGATGTGAGGGCTGCTCTACTTTTTCTTAATAACCTAAGTATTAAATGATATGAAGTATGTATTACTTTACTACCTTAAGCAAAAATAACATTTTTTTCATTCTAATAGGTGGAAATACACATGTTTTGACATGCTGACAGCACTTACTAACCTTGTTACTGATGGGCAGCTGTTCAGAGTACATTATATCAAGGCTTCAAGATCAGGAGATGTATACATAGACGAGGTATATATTGGTAATGGACCAACTACAAAGGACCAAGGTATTTAGTTAGCAAAAGTTTTCATTTGTCAGGATGATTTGACAATTTACATTTTATTTCTCTAATTAAAATGTTTGATGCATTCTTTTCACATAATTCTTTTGAAGAGAATGTGAACTTACTGCGACTGAAACCTGTGAAGCCTAACGGTCATGTGATACACCTTACAGAGGGAGTGGTGACTTCTAATGCACCGCCCGTGTTCAGTGTGGATATCACATTCATCCCTCTGGAATGTGGATACGACTTCCCTCTGCTTAGTGCTGTCCCAGGACAGGTCTGAATGAATTTTCTTCTTATTGACTCAATTCAAATATCAACCAGTTTCTCTGATTGTGAAATGAAAATTAATTTTAAAGATTATGTTGCTGACACATAGTGTTTATCATATTTATTTTCTGTTTGCGCCACTTTGCATTGAAATCAGATGAATTCCGTACACAGATACCTGTAAGTCTCATTGAGAGCAATGTCACTGTGTCATTCTGACCTTGACCTTCTCAGTTATCTTGAATTCACTTTCCTTTTTAGAAATTTAGCAGTTTAGAGCAATGAATTTTTATGAAAATTTTGTTACCTTGACTCTTTCTTTAAATTTCTTCAACCATTTTCTTGAAATCATATGCATTGTAAATGTATACCATCCAAACAAAAAGAATGCAGAAAAATGTCAGTAAGTTTAGGATGTGATAAACTGTTGTGATTAGATGCTGTGGCAGGGTAAAAACTTGGAAAAACATTGATTTTTTACCTGTACAATGATTGGTATGAGGAAAAAAATATATGAACCATTAAAGTGATTTGCAATTGATGGAATAAAAATAAATCTTACATACATTATGTATGTATCAATGAGTAGGTTTATATTACACAAGTTGATGCAACTTAAATTAGATATTTGTTTTGGAACAAACTTTCCTTTTAAAAGGGTTATGTATGGAAGGGAATTCCGCCAAAAGTCTATGTATCTTGCTTTTTTTTTTTTGCCTACTTCTTTATGCTTTGTTATTATTGTAATTATATGTCACTTTATTGTTTACATATTCGTCTTTATTACATTTCACTTTGACTTTTATCCTTCTTCATTTTGCCCTTACTTCTATGTTGCTTTATTCTTGTAAATTCATTTTACTTTCTTTTAGATTGATACAGTTTCTTAAATGATTATCTCTATTACGAACACAAATTCAATCACACAAAGAATGAAGCATATTAAATGAAGACGAATACATGTAGTGCGAATTTAGCGCCGCATTATAAGGCTAGGTGGCAGGGATGTTCGCTACAAGTGTTGGTAAAACTAGGTAAGCAAACCCGGGCCGGGGTTATTCGAGTTTTTTCAATTTTCTGCCTTAATACTTTATCGAACTTATGAAGACCGGATCCGATTACCCTATCCAATGATGGAAACTCCATATTTATATTCTCTGGGCACACAGGAATAGCGGCATCTTCTTTCAGACATAACTTTATATACTTTACTGAATATGTTCATTGAAAAGACGACCCACTTTTTGTAAGGGTAAGGGTCAAATGAGGTTAATGTAGTATAGTAGGGAAAAAATTTAAATTAGATACTATAGAAGACGTTGAATCTCACCCAAAACCCACCCCGCCCCGAAATAGGATTTCATTGGCGTCGGAAGCAAAGTGAAAGTTTGGGGGGGGGGCAAAGTGTAAGAAATATTTTTTAGATCTTCAAAAAAAACTTGACAAGCAAAAAAAAAAAGAAACTAGGAGACTTATTGTTCACAGAACAATAAGAGGTCTTCCCACCTTCTTTGAACTCTTTTGCATCTGACTCCTAAAAATTAAATTCCATGAAAAAGAAACCAAAACTCTCGTAAAGCATAGAAAAAATGAAAATTAAAAAAAAAAAAGAATGACCTTGACCTTTGACCTTGAAAAATATTCTAGGTCAAAGGTCAAGGGTCACAATGCAATTGACCCCATGCTTCTACCACTTATAGTTTTCAAGTTATAAGGTTTAATAGTAAGTACAAAGAAGTTAAAGGGCAATAACTCATATAAGGGGTCATCAGATTCTTTTGCACGTAAACAATGAAGTTGGGTCTAAAGACCCTTAAGACATTAGTGAAGGTTTGGTGTCTGTAGGGTCTACAGTTTCCGAGGAGTAGCGATAACAAGGTTTTTCGCACAAGGGGCAATAATTATTAAAAGGTTTAATCTTAGGGGACAAGAATGAAATCTTTGAAACAGTTTTAAGAGTACATATTACTGATGCATAGACATTAAGCATATGTTGAATGACAAAAGAGATACAAAAATAGCTAATTTACTCATTTTTTGAATGACCTTGACTTTTGACCTTTCGTGAATTTTAAGGTCAAAG